GGGCGGCGCGGGGGGGGGGGGGAAGTGTGGGGGGGGGGGGGGGGACCCACTAGTGAATGAGGAACTGAAAATTTTTAATTTCAAACAACAAATAAGTTTTAAAAGTATGGGCCTCCTATTTGTAAAAATAAAGCTTTTATATCACTTTAATTCCTGAGCTAAGTGTCACTTTAACAGCAAAAGAGTCACCAACCTGGCCCTGCTTTCTGGAAGGGCTGTGTAAATCTCAGGACAGACTGGACAAAATTACAAATCTGTTTATGTATTTCAGTTGTGTGTTTAGTTAACAATCCTGCCGTTTTTCCCAAGTACTGATTAGCATAAATCCAGTTTAAGCTTAATCTATTTAAAGCTTAGAGTGATATTAAAGTCAAAAGGTGCTGGAGACTAGGGATGGGCCGAGTGTTTGATTCGAACATGAGTTTGTACCGAACATCGGCCGTTTCGAGCGTTCACCGAACTTATGGGATGTTTGTGGTTTGTTCGACCGCGGATATTCCATAAGGCAAAATGCCCTCCGAAGCTCTGATTGGTTAAAGTCTGGCACCTGACCACAGGTGCTCGCTCGTCCCCCCCCCCCCTTTCCGGCCCTGTCAGGCCTATGCTCGGATCAAGGGTCTAGTATGGAATTTTAGGGGGGTGGGGTTCCTCCTTAAAATTTCTACCAGACCTTAAGTGCCAGCTACGACTTTTGGGGGGAACCCCACACACTTTTTTCTGTTTTTGTGTACATGGGGTCCCTCCTAAATATTCCTACCAGACCTTAAGGGCCTGGTATGAATTTTGGGGGGGAACCCCACTCACTTTTTTTTTGTACATGGGGTCCCTCCTAAATATTCCTACCAGACCCTAAGGGCCTGGTATGACTTTTGGGGGGAACCCCAGACACTTCTTTTTTTGTACATGGGGTCCCTCCTTAATATTTTGAAATGTCAGTTTTGCTGCAGCAGGTTCTAAAAATTGTACAGATCAGCCACTTCACAGGCAGGTTAAGGGGACCCCTCAGGCACGATATTTGAAGGAATTAAAAAAAAAAAATTCTTACCCTTTAAGTGATGTTAAAATCACTGCTCCTTTAAAAACTGTATTTTTTTTCATTAATTCCTGTCCCCAGGGCAGTACCCGGACCCCATACACTTTTTATGGTCAATTACTTGCATACAAGCCCTCTTAAAGGGGGCATTCATTTTCGAACGTTCGACCCCCATTGAGTTCGAGTTCGTATTCGAACTTTTCGGGCGTTCGAATATGAACCGAACACGGGGGTGTTCAGCTCATCACTACTGGAGACTGCGCTCTCCCTTGTACTGTAGAGGAAGTTTAAAGTGGAGCAGAGAGAGTTTGAGCCATCTGTTCTGAAACATGATCACTTTAAGTGTTTGGGGGGGGAAAAAAATACTTTGTTGGGCCATGAATATTTGTTTGATCTGCAGTCATTATTGGAAAAAAAGTCTGAGAGTTTAATACTACTTTAAACCGTATCTAAACCCAAAATGTTATATATTGCAGATTACCAATCCTAAACATGGGGAGGCTGCCTTTTTCTTATTTTTACGTTTCTTCCTTTATTGGCCTGCGTTTCCACTGCATTTGTGTTTGGTTATTACAGTAATAAACTGTGAACTGAGGTGCAGTACACATTACTTCACTTGGCCACTGCTAAATACAGCTGATCACTGCAGGTTTTTATTTTAAGTCCCCATTCACACCAGTTGCATGCATGAACATGCTCAAAACTGCATGATTTAAAATGTGTGTATGTAAGGTGTTGTTCCTAAAATTGCCATTATTTGTTCAAGGAGAACTATTGGGAGAGTAAAATAGTCTCTTCCAAATACTTTGAGCTGCTGAATGACGCTGCAGGTGTCACATGCTGGTTCTGTAGATCGAGAACTGAACGATCACAAACCGCTGATCACTCAGCTCACGGCTTCTCCCTGTAGAAAGACGTGACTGTCAGTCACCGCTCCCCACAGGGATTCCCCCCTCCCCTCTCTCTGTACTTCCAGTGCTCATTGAAGGGACAGAAAGGAGGTGGGTGTGGGCGCAGCTGGCTTTGGCAGTAGACCGCTAGATGCTGACTTTGGGTCACAGGAGTACATTAGTAAATGTACTCCTGTGACCCAAAAGAGGACTAAAGCCCCCCCCCCCAAAAAAAAGGTATGGCTTTAGTTCTTTTTTAATGCACCCCAAATGCTGCAAGCACGCTGTGTGTCTTGGTACACAAAGCTCACAGCTCAAATTGTTGCATGAGCTTTTCTTGCTGTGTTTGTCACTGAAATTAATGGGCTGCCCTATGCTGTTGCGCGACGAACATGGCAAATGCATCTAGTGAGAATGGGAGCTTAGTACAAGTTATACATAGTAGTTCTTGCGCTGCACTAGCATTCACCAAAGAGATGACCCATGACAGGACTGGTCAAATGCCAACACAATGCAAACTAATTCCAGTGGTCAGTAAGAATGCGTGTACCTTCTTTGTAATAGCAAAAAATGTGTATATACATATATTTTTATTGTTGTTTTTTCAAAGATAATGTAAATAATAAAATAATGCCACATTTTAGGTACTTTAGTTTATTGTTGTTTATAAGTACAAAAGACTTTCTTTTGGAAGCAGTCTTTTGTCTCTTTTTAACTACAAATATAAAAATACAAGGCAATAAAGCAACAAAAATGTGCACATCTTTATATAAACAAACGATTCAAAGTGTTGTACAAAATTATTTACAATTGTAATGTATTTACACATTCTAAAAGTACATTTGAAGGAGTACAATAATGTTAAGTTATCAAAAGGGTAGCTAAAATACAGTAGCAATCTTACAAAAACACCAATTTTAACCACAAAATAAATAGACAATAAAATACAGCATTTTAAAGAACAAACAAGACCCTTTCTGTGTATTGTGTGTGTGTTTTTTTTGTCTTTACCATCCTTGTTTAATTCAAGCTTTTTTTGCTGCATCAAACCTTCATCAAATCTATTTTTGGTTACACCATTATGTAAGGTACTGCAATTATACAAGAGTAAATTGCATAGTAACTTTTTTTTAAAAATTACCGTGTCCGATAACATAGGTTGCATAAACATTTCAAAACATAAACATTTCAAAACAAACGATCACTTACATGATTCTTAACATCAGCTTTTAACATACTTACTGACATCCTGTTTGTTAGTTCTGATGATAAGGATAATCCCGTAAAAGATTACAGATCAAGTGCAAAAACGTCATGTAAAATTCACAGGAAGAATGTCACTGCCAAGACAGGCGTTCAGGAGGGAGCAATGTCATTTTAAAGCTTACATTGATCATTCTGAATGCTGTTGGTTATTCTTAAAAATGTTATATTTGGTAGGTAGTGTTAACATTGCATAGATGTGGCCAGTAGTGATATCACACCTGCAAAGATGTAGCGATGTCACAGACACACAAGTGAAATGATTTGTATTGTGGTTCTGAGCTGTTAATATTTAAAGCCTCTTTCACACGGGCTGATCAGGAGGGGATCCGTTCAGGTCCACCTGAAAAACTTGAGCTGATTGTCTTTGGTTGTTTTCGGACATTTATTGAGTGTTTATACAGGCATTTTGGCTTCAGTCTTGAGCTTTTTTTTATTATTATTTTTAGCCAATGGAGAGCTAACAGGCACGAAAATGTGCAAAAAAAAAACCAAAACACATTTTTCAGATGCTCCCATTAGTTTATGGAGGCCAAAACACATGACTCTGCCCCAAAGATGCTCATGTACTATTTTAAGCATCATTATACTCAGGTGTGAATGGGCACCATTGCATATAATGGAAATCCTAATGTCAAGCGTTCATGCTTTGAATCCCTCAGCTGTGAACAAGCACCATTGAATATCATGGAAATCCTAGTAATAAAGCGTTGAAGCTTCAAATCGCTCAGGTACCAATGAGTATAATGAAAATCCTAGTGTCAAGTGTTGAAGCTTGAAATTGCTCATCTGTCAATGGGCATTATTGAGTATAATGGAAATCCTAGTGTCAAGCATTCAAGCTTTGAATCACTCAGGTGTGAATTGGTACCATTGAGTACAATGGAAATCCTAGTGTCAAGCGTTCATGCTTTGAATCCCTCAGGTGTGAACTGGCACCATTGAATATCATGGAAATCCTAGTAATAAAGCGTTCAAATCGCTCATGTACCACTGATAATGAAGATCCTAGTGTCAAGTGTTGAAGCTTCAAAGCGCTCAGCTGTTAACGGTCACCATTAAGTATAATGGAAATCCTAGTGTCAAGCGTTTGAACTTTGAATCACACAGGGGTGAACGGGCACCATTGAGTATAATGGAATTCAATCGTTATAGATTCAAATTGCTCAGATGTAAATGGAGCTTCGAACAGCTGTGCTCCTATCTGGAAATATGGCGAACATTCAAAGGGTACAGTATTCTATTATGTATAAGATCAGTATCCGCAGTGACATGACACAGAGAAACCTACAATGTTTCAGGCGAGCTTATCAAACTATGTACAAATTAGCTAAATGCTTGTGTAGTGAATTCCACATTGTACTTTTACATATAAATAGAAGAATTGCTTCCAAAAAGGTCAATGCGTTTTTAAGGCTAATGAAATATATTTGGGAATTTAGCTCTAAAAGGCCTCACTTGACTACATTTAAAAGCAACATTGAACAAATGGAGAGCCACATTTAGCATAAATTCAGGTACTTATGAGAAGAACAATAATAAAGTGTATAGTGACACTGAAGTTAAAAAAACAAATACACATGAAAAAAATGTACTTGCATACTCAAGTAACAGTAAAGACAGTGCTTTGGTCAAAACATCACTAAACAACCTTAAAAACCCTTGTGTGTTGAGATGTAAATACGCTGAATTGAGATGAAACCTGCCAACTGCCGTATACTGCAAAAGAAAAACAGAACAGTTGTAGCAAAACATTCTCTGACTGGTTGATCGCTTTGTATTTTAATACGGAGTTATAAATAAAGAGAAAAGCATGTTCTATTATTATGTTCCAGTTCCTCTTCCCACCCCACCTTCCCGTAAGTCCGTCTGACAACTGGGATAACATGTTTTTAAGCAGCAACTACCCTAATGGGCAGTTACTACAGTCTGCATAGTGTTTCAGCAATGAGGCAGTGGGGAGAAGATTGCATAGCGAAGAAGAGCCTTGGACAGGATCCATTCTAGTTCTGATGTCTCTTCATGTGTAGGGCTAAGTGATCAGAGCGGGAGAAGCTTCGGTTGCAAACTGCACACTGAAAGGGCTTCGCTCCCGTGTGTTTTCTGTAGTGACGCGTCAGTTCATCTGAGCGGGCAAATCTCCAGTCGCAGCCTTCCCACGTACACTTGTACGGCTTCTCTCCTGTAAAAACACAAACATAAGACTCTTGTGAATACAGACTTTTGATATTTTGAGGGTCTGTGATACATACATGAAGATTAAAAAGGGATAAGGTTTACTTTCCCTTTAGTGACTCATAGTCAGCCTGTGTGTGAAGTAGTCCAACAGCAGATAGAGCTGTCAGAACAGATGCAGAACTCTACAGCTATTATATCTTATAAAAGGAAGACATTAAAAGGGAAAACATTTCTACCTTTTAAAACAAGGAACTTTTGAATGCTCTTTATGTTAAAGCTATACTCCAGGATATACAAACATTGTCTAAATATAAGAGGCATGTGTATTCTTTTTTTGAATCTTGCTGAGCTTTGTGGGTTTCTTTCAGATCTGTGCAGTAGTGTGAAACTTTTCTTCTGTGCAGGCACTTCCTGTAATATAGACCAGTGACTGGTCTTGTATCCGCCCCCACCTGTATTGCCTGTTGGCAGCCTACACTGGGTGGGCCTGCTGGTCCCCTCCCACAGCTTTGCTCTCTCTATTTGGTGCATACAAAGTGGATTTATATCCCATGTGGATATAAACGATTCTATTTAAATTGAATGTCTTTGTGCCTGGAGCTCAGCTTTAACCAAAATAAAAGCGGCTGCCTAATCTTGTAAAGGAATTCTATAAAACTGGAGAAACGCAAAAGGGGAGGTGAGGCTGCCAGTAACCAATTAGATTTGAGACGTCAATGTTTCTATCATAGCTCATGGTGGCTCTACACTAAGCTGCAAAAACAAAAAACACTGCAAACAGACAGATTTCACCTTTCAAATGCACTGAGCGATCTGACATGTTATAGGAAATTAGTTTATAGTCTTTCTAAATATAAAAAAGTACAAACGTGTCTGACTGTCCACTTTAAGCACATACATTTTCCTTTCCTCTATTTGTGTTCAAAAGGTTGTATTAGGGAACAATTAAAGTTGGTAAAGCTGCATGTACATAAGCAATAGGGACTTAGACAGCACTGGTAGACAAGCAAAATACCAGCAATACAACAAATTACAAGAACAATTAATAAAACATAGCGATGAATACATCCAGTAAAAGCACTTTACAAAGTTTTATTGATAATGAGGAAAGAAGGATCCATCCTTGCCCTTTAACTTTAAAGGGTATACAGAGTAAGAGGGAAAGAGAAGGGAAAGGGGGAGACCTTTCCTCTATTTTTATATAGTTTCCCCTTCTCCTGCCAGATGCTCTTCTGTCCAAAATACTGTTCCATAAAAACAAGCAAGCCAATATTATTTTCATGATAATTTGACCAAAGGGTACAGCTATCTCTATTGACATCTATGATGACACATCATATAACCCAGACATAAGAGGCCTTATGGAAATCCTGAGATAACCCTACAAGCCTATCTGTGCAGGAACTACATACAGCCATATACTTTATTGAATATTTAACAGAATATTTAACAGAAACATCAAAAGGACAAAAGGAGGGGCTATAAATCCCTGTCATTTATTTAGCAATATGCTGCTTCCATAATCCTCTGTGAGTGAGGAGTTTATACTGCTCGGTCATTGGTGAGACATCACAAAGAAGTGTCTATTTGAGTCTGTAGAACACAGTTTTAATTATAACGGTTATCACTGAAGTCTTCACACAACTCTAATTCCATCAGTCAAGACAATGTACGGAGCTGCTATTCCTATGGCCACCAAATGTTTTCCTATTTAGTCACTTCTTTTTGGAATGGTGACCCATTTTATAGTATTACACATCCAGCGACATACACAGAGAAAATAACCTTGCCGAAAGATCGTTTATTAATAGAAGACCAATTTTGTATTTTGCCTTTGTAACTGTAACTTTTTATTTCTGAGGAGTCAATGTAAAGTAGAACTAAAGCAAAAACGTTCTTTTAGTTTTGGAGAGAGAAAGGGAGGATTGAAAAGTAACCCCCATCAGCCTTTTTGTGTGTCCCATTAAAGGAGATTTCCCTTCACTTCCTGTCTGAAAGCCACAAGGGAAAGTGAGAGGAAATCCCTCCAAAGTGTGGAAAATTACTGGTGGTCAGCAGGATCATCAGAACCAGTGTCCCTGTTGGAACATTTCCCATTCCTGTTCAGACAACAACCCAAAATATGGGATTTTCTTTCAATTTTGTAAAAATGGTCACCAGGACAAATAGAGAGCATGCATCTCCCTTATAGGGACACAGACAACAATACAAACTGATAGGTCTTCTAAACCCTCCTCACTCCATCCAAAACTAAAAAAAGTTTGAGCTTCAGTTGCAGTTCAATGTTTACAACCCTTCCATATAAATAATAGTATGTTTCTAGCGCTCCCAAAACTTCCTAATTAAATCTACTTCAAATATCCAAAAGGTCTGGGAAGCCTATAATAAATGGAATGCTGTGTTCTTCCTTTTCATTATCACATGTCTGTACTATTTGGGCAGAAAATTGGTTATAATTGTAAGCATCAGGGCACATTAACATGTTAACATATTATGAGCTTTCCAGCAAGAAGAGGAGTCTAAACCTTGGCTCAGAATAGCCCTGTTCAGTTTCCTTTAACAATAAGAGATCAACTGAATTCTTTATTTTAGTTGATAAAGGTCAATAGTGGACAATGCAGCGTTGCTATAGATAACTGTATCAGGATCAATGAGGCATACAACCATAGCTCACTGACCCACATACAATACAGCTTGCCTTAAATCAAGCCTGTTACTACTAGTATCCCTCTAGTTTACAACTTGATATTCCCTTTAGCTCCTAATCTGGTCAGTAAATCTTCAAGGCACACCATTTGCATCTTCTGTTTATGCATTAGACATACTTTCCACTTTTAATCTATATCTTGCAGATGATTAAAGGATAAATGAATGATTCAGTTGTACAAACCAAATAATTTAATTACAGATAGGTGACATTTACAATAGAATTCCATGGCATTTAATACCTCAAACACTTGTCATAAGCCCAGTGTCACATTACAAGATTATATATATACATACACCTTATTATGGCATTTCAGTGCTTTTAACTGCCTGGTGGTAGGTTTTGAAATTGCAGCTTGTGTGGTCATTATTATTGATATGCGGGAGTTTGGTATGAACCCATTTCGGCCAAGCCTGCGCAAAACTGTGACCGATACCCCCCTTCTCAGTCTATTAAGTTGTAGCAGGGATATTCCCGTACCTTTGTGATGCGTAGCTGAGGGGTGAGGATTGTCCAACTGATTGGAGCAGGATGGAGAAATGCGTCAGTGCATGGGCTTGGGCGAACTCAGGTCATTGGAAACCATCCCTGGCTCATCAGCCACTGTGATTTTATAGAAAAGGTGGACACAGGCTAGGAGCATTGACCCGGCGCCCAGGCCACAAGCACCAGGTCTTCTCCCGAGTCCCGCGGGTTTTCGAATGTAATATTCTAATAATTGTTGCCAGTAAGCATAATCTTGTAGACAGTTTTCCAATAAGAATTTAATGTATTTTAGACATTGCCTTCCTGCAAACTCTGAGCTCTTGCTCAAGTGACACGCTATAGTAGTCACCTTCATTCCTCACTGTTACATAAAAGGTTATGCAAGGAAGGGGAGGGGCAGAGGAGCTAAGCCAGCACAGACAGTAATTAGACACTCCCAGAAGTAAAGAGGTGAGGGGCAAAGGAGCTAAGCCAGCACAGACAGTAATTATAGAATCCCAGAAGTAAGGAGGCTTGGAAAGGGCAGAGGAGCTAAGCCAGCACAGACCATAATGAGACAATCCCAGAAGAGGAGAGGTCTATGCAAGAAGGGAAAGGCTGTGGTAGTTAATTGACTGGCAAATTAATAATAATGAACTTGCTATATCTGTGCTTTTATCTGTATTTTTAAGTTGGTGACAGGGTCTCCTTAAGCATTAAATCCTGACCACATGAAAATAAACCAGACTAGAACTAGTAGCCACATTCATCTGGACTTGGATACATGACTGTGACTTTACCTCTAGATGTACCATGACCTCAATAAATAGGAACCTTTAAGAAATACCAGTTGCTCTCAATTTTCTTACTGTTGACTAAAACCCATTTCATACAATGTTAAAAAATTGTTGATTCTTTTCCAGAAACACATTTTTTTTTCTTTTCATGAAACGTCCAGAGCGCTAAATCAAAAATACTATTCTTCAAAGAGTAATGTGTTTAAGCTCAGTTACTGGAACATGACAACTGAATCAAAACAGCGATTTAACTGTGCGGCAAAATGAAGCTACTCCTCCACTTCAGAGGAACTTCTATGGCATTTGTTAAAATGTCAGCACTGTTCAAGTAAAACAGCATGGAGGAAACTGGTACCAAACTATAGCCAAATAGTACACTCTGGTCGTTTCTTACTGAGCCAGAAATATCATGCACAGCATTTAAAAAAAAAAAAAAAAAAAAAAAAGACTTAGGCTGGGGAGAACTTCACTGCTATGTCAGTGCGCTCCCTCCACAATCACTCTAATAGTGGGAGCATAGTATTTTACCATTGACAAGTCTGACCTAGAACTATGTCCGACACAAGATCTGTGACAATAAATCATCAGGTACAGAGAAAAGCCTTTTTGCAAACAGTTGGGAATTTGCCGGCTACCGTTGTTTCAGTTGAACCTGATAATCGTTATCAAAGTCATTGTGCAAAGCAATAAACAATAACGTTGTATGCCAGCCATGACTTCACCTGTACTCCACCGATCA